AGGGTAAATTAAACTAGTTGGACAGGTTTTCAGAGAACCAAAATTACTACCAAAAAACTATGTATGACATTTTTAAAGAAAGATGGATACTCATATTGAAGAACCAAATGGAGCTCAAAGACTGATTTATCAATGACAGAAGACAAGGAAGCATGGTAACAAAGTGAAGTCCTAAACAGGCCATTACTAGAGAAAGAAAAGGGCTCACCTTTGCTGACAACATAAACCTTGGCTGCTGAGGATTTTTTTAAAAATGAAGACAAAGTAGGGGCGCCTGGGTGGCTCAGTCGTTAAGCATCTGCCTTCGGCTCAGGTCATGATCCCAGTGTCCTGGGATCGAGCCCCACATCAGGCTCCCTGCTCTGCAGGAAGCCTGCTTCTCCCTCTCCCACTCCCCCTGGTTGTGTTCCCCCTCCCGCTGTGTTTCTCTCTGTCAAATAAATAAATAAAATCTTTAAAAAAAAAAAATGAAAACAAAGTACAATTTATTTATGATGAAATTTGTGACTTAGTCGGGGCACCTGGGTGGCTCAGTTGGTTAAGCGACTGCCTTCGGCTCAGGTCATGATCCTAGAGTCATAGGATGGAGTCCCGCATCAGGCTCCCTGCTCGGAGGGGAGTCTTCTTCTCCCTCTGACCCTCTTCCCTCTTGTGCTCTCTCTCTCTCTCATGCTCTCTCTCAAATACATAAATAAATAATCTTTAAAAAATAAAAAATAAAACCACCTTTATTTTATGAGCTCATTTTGCAATATTCTAACTGCACGCAACTCATAACACATCTTTCTCCTCATGTTATAATTTAACATTCAGGGTTCGGTCAAGAAAAAAGATATCGGGGCACCTGGGTATCTCAGTCAGTTAAACATCTGACTCTTGTTTTCAGCTCAGGTCATGATCTCAGGGTCATGGGACCGAGCTCCCAATTGGGCTCCATTCTCAGCTTGGAGTCTGCTTAAGATTCTCTCCCTCTGCCCCTCTGTCCACTCACGTTCTCTCTCTCTTAAATAAATAAATAAATATATATAGAAAAAAAGAAATCAAGCTAATTATTTTAATAAAGAGAATTGAGTGTAGTTAGTTGGTTAAATAGCTACCACAGGACAAAGCAAAAAATGGAGCAATGTGGTGACAGATGGAAGCCAATAAATACCAAGGGCTTAGGGGTTTAGAGGGAGTAGTGAACTTTACTTAATTTTAGAATGTAAAGACAACTAAACTCTCTTGGGTGTTTTTAAAAAATCCTCATACCTAGACACACACCTATCCAACTAAATCAGAATCTCTGGTGATGAGACCCAGTCGTCATTATTTATAAGACTCCTCAGGAAATTCTAACAAAATCCATGGTTAAGGACCAGTAAATGGCATTCTTAGACATTACCTGAATAAACAGTTTTGAGAGATGCAAAATTTGTATGGAAAATACACAGAAATCATGGAAAAGGATATAAATTTTAAATATATGAAAAGAGAGTTGTAGGGTTACCTAGGTGGCTCAGTTGGTTGAGCATTCAACTCTTGGTTTCCGTTCAGGTCATGGTCTCAGGATCGTGGGATCGAGCCCTGTGATAGGCTCCAAGCTCAGCGGGGAGTCTGCTTGAGATTCTCTCCCTCTCCTTCTCCCTGTGCCCCTCCTCCCCCTCTCCAATAAATAAATAAATCTTAAAGAGAGAGAGAGTTCTACATTTCACCCGGATACCAGGGTCATTGAGGACAACCTCTCATGCATTCATTATGATGTACAAAGCATCCCAGAATACTCCCCCAATCCAATTAAAAACAAATTAAAAAAGTAATATTCATATATGAAACATGAAGAGGAATGAAAACCATGATATTGAAAAAAATTGTGACCAAGAAAGCAGTATTTGCTGGTCTACATGTTTGGTTTTGCCAATTTTTTTCAACCCACACTTCAAAAAGGATTGCACACATACTGAGATTAGCCTGTTCTTCTGAGGAACCTCCAAAGGGCACTCTTGATGTCCCTGTTTCTCAGGCTGTAAATGAAGGGGTTCAGCATGGGAGTGACTATGGTATACACAACCGAGGCCACCATATCCTTCCTGGGGGAAGGCGACAATGCTGATCCAAGGTACACTCCAATAGCAGTAACATAAAATAAGCAAACAACTGACAGGTGGGAGCCACAGGTGGAGAAGGCTTTGTACTTCCCACCTGTGGATGGGACTCTCAGAATGGAGGAAACAACTTTATAGTAAGAGAATAAGATCCCTGAGATGGGGAGAAAGCCAGAGATGGCACCAACAAAATACATGACAATGTTATTGGTGGAGGTGTCAGAACAGGCAAGGTTCAGGAGTTGAGAAGGATCGCAGAAAAAATTAGAAAGTTTCATATCCTTGAAGCAGGTAAGTTTTAACACAATCAAATTGTGCAGCTGGGAGTCCAAAAGGCTAACAAAAAAAGACAACAAAACTAAGAAGCCACAGAGGTGGGGGTTCATGATGACTGAGTAGTGTAGAGGGTGACAGATGGCCACAAACCGGTCATACGCCATCACAGTCAGAAGCATACCATCCATACATCCAAAAAGGAACAAAAAGGACATCTGAGTCAGGCAACCCATATAGGAGATGGCTCTGCTCTGAGTTTGGATGTCCATGATCATCTTGGGGATTGTGGTAGAAGTGAAACCGATGTCAGCCAAGGACAGGTTGGAAAGGAAGAAGTACATGGGGGTGTGGAGGTGGGAGTCAGAGCTGACAGCCAGGACGATGAGCAGGTTCCCGAGCACGGTGACCAGATACATGGACAGGAACAGCCCAAAGAGAAGGGGCTGCAGTTCTGGATCATCTGAGAGTCCCGTGAGGAAGAATTCTGAGACCCTTGTTAGATTTTGTGGTTCTATGTAGCTTGGACACCTTCTGAAAAAGAAAAGAGGGTTGGAAAAGTGAATCAAGTAAATGGGCAGTCAGCACTGTGTCCCTATTGCGTATTCGAGCAATTCACAAGTAAAATATTCACACTTGGGGCCATACCCTCCAGCGCGTTCAGCAATATTTCTGTGTCTCAAATCCAATTTTCTTAGAACCGTTTCCTAATTGGTTTCTGTGTTATTCACATCTCTCTATACACACTTTAAAGGCACTCAACTGAAGAATGTTAGAGGACCAAGAACATTTAGAGATAAATGATAAATCCATGATCACCATAAAATACTCTTAAAGAAACATACCGAATAAGAAACATTCTTCTCCCTTTAAGGAAAAAAATCATTCTAATTAAAGGACACTTAGAAGCAGCCTTATTTTATTCAAATAAGTGCAAGAAATTCCCTTTAGAATATTGATAAACTGTATAATTGCTAGAACTACAATACTGACATTCTAAATTAAAATCAAATGTTTGGGGCACCTCGGTGGCTCAGTCGTTAAGCGTCTGCCTTAGCCTCAGGTCATGATCCCAGGGTCCTGGGATCGAG